ATCGAATTCACCGGTGAGAATAACATTATTTGCTGAACCAGTCCTAGAAGTGGAAAATAGATGCATTAACGTCCAAATAACACTGGGACAAAACGCTGACCATGCGAATGTTTCCTCATACAGCGACATCCCTCGACTCAGGACGCGGAACAAGCCAGAACCGATTTGCATCCGACCATTGAATCATTCGATCCCGTTCCTTCATGGATGGGAGCGACAAAGGACTGGAGACTTTTGCGGGTGAGCGCTCATAATGGCATGTCGTGTGATGTTTGACATATTCCCCTTCTTAGATCCGCGGCTAAGTCGAAAGTACCAGCAGGAACAAGCGGTGAAGCTAGTTCAGCATCCTCGCCTGGCAAGGCTTCTTGCCAAGTTGACGTTGTAGCCGTTGCTGAGCCACCAGTTTCCACACCATCCTCCTCCACACCATCAAGTCTGTAATCTCACCCTCGGATTCCCATACTGCACTTTCCCTAGTTCGCAGCACACTCGCTGCCAATCAATCCTACCAGAAATCTCTCGACTCTCTTGCGCAGTCCCTTCGGAGTGAGCTTGCCCGTTCGGAGAAACTCCTTGGAGAAGTGGAGCGGAATGCCACCTCAAAAGGTATCGGTTCCGTACTAAGGACATGGCCGAAAGAGCATGTAGTTCTCATCAGGGAAGGATGGGTCGGAATGAAGACAATCATTGGGAGGAAACAAATATTTGCAGACGTGAGTCCTTATAAATATCGCCGCATAGAAACATGACGCCCATTTGGGCATATCTATAGGATTCGCCTTTCCATGACGATGTGATTAGGCATAAACGGTATAGGAATTTGACGACTCCAAACCATGTGGGTCTCTGAAGATCTCATTTCTTTCGATTTCTTGGACAACTCACTTCGTGTCCTGTGTGATTAGTTACTCCCCAAAGAACGCTCCTCACTGATGTCTACGGTTCGTAACGAGAATATGCGACTCTGTACCCGCGAGCTTGCATCAAGGTAGGCCCATTGATATTCGCCTCGGGAATGGCATGTGTTCATAGCTTTGTCCTGTCTGGACTTATAGTGGTGCTACAGATGCTCTTGATAATTGCCAGCTACCGATCTTGAACGAACGCACGATGGGTTGGATTGGGACAGAATTGCCTCTCAGGTTCGTTCATTCATGGGCGTCTCCAGCACTCAGTGTGAAGAATGGAAATTTCTGGGCCTAACACCTTTTTATAGATCCAGCGGAATTATTATTCGAGCAACGAACAGCTCAAGAATGTAAAGTCCAGTGGATGGTAGTGGATCGTCCGGAATCGGCCAATGCCACAGACCTATCATGGGACGACGAGGAAGATGTCAAATTACGATCCTTGGTTGGCGACAAAGACTACAAGCAAGGGGAGGTAGACTGGGTGGTAGTTGCAACAGAGCTAGGGGTACGTCTATTTGGATTTATATCAAATCGTAGCCGTTTTGACATTGTTCCTCATTAGGGAAACAGATTACCCATTCATTGCCCCAGTAGGTTTCTCTGTCTGGAAGGCCTCGCGCTTCCACAGCCAAAGAAAGGCAATACTTCCTCTCAGCGTCCAGGTGCTGGATTGCCTCGTGAAAAGGAGCAATGGACAACTAAAGAAGATGCCGAGCTCCTCGATGCGGTGTACGATCTAGGGGCGGGTAAATGGCGTGCAAGTGAGTAACGTTCTGGGTTGTGAAATGTTACGAGCAATGTTGCTGACGATGGCTGAATCAATCCTTTTTCACAGTTTCACAGTCACTCTCTACCTTGAGAACCCCCCCTGCTTGTGCGCAACGTTATCGTGCCTCCCTCGATCCCACTATCAAGAAGGGAGAGTGGACATATTCTGAGGACGAGAAACTCAGGGAAGCGGTCACAGTCTATGGTACTCATTGGAGCAAAGTAAGCTCCTGTGTCAAAGGGAGGACGGGTCCACAATGTAGGGAGCGCTATACAAGGACGACTATTGCTGGGATAAACGGTGGAAGGTGGACATCCGAGGTGCGCACCACTTATGTTGTTGCCTTTGACAGCATTCTTGAGTATTAAATCATTTCCCCTCAGGAGGATAGAAGGCTTCGACAAGCTGTGGTCGAGGGAGGAATTAAGGACTGGAATGTCGTTGCCGATGTTGTCGGCACTCGTAGTGGCCAGCAGGTAACAAATGCATATTACCAATGAATAACTGTTCATGGAAGTCCTCATCCATTTCCCCCCATTCAGTGTCAACGCCGGTGGGGGATTCTTGAGAAGTTGCCGAACATTTCTGTGCCGGACAATTCGAACGATGTGCCTGAATCAAGTGCGACGCCCCTACGGAGGTTTAAACGGACAAAGAAAGCCTCGTGATGGAGATGGAGACAGTAATGCCAAAGATGACGTCGGCCCCAACACTCCCGATCCAGCTTCCGATACGACCACGTCTGCAAAAACTCGCTCAACCAAGCGAGGAAGACGACAACGGAAGCCCCCGGCTGCATCAAATTCCCCGTCTACTTCTGCCAATGCAATGGACGGCGTGCAGGAAGTAACGTCAGCCCGCTCAGATCATGAAGGTGCAGAGCAAGGTGCAGAGGAAGCCCCACGTCCAGTAACACCCAGACCAAAACCCAAACCGAGGACCAGGGAAAACATCAGCCAAGATGCAACAAATGTTGAAGTGTAACAGACGTGCGGATTTTGCCATGGACACCTTCGGCGCGCGTTGCGTCTCAAGCTCCTTGGCACACAATCTGGTGTACTTTTTGTTCATAGTGCCTACAGATTGCCATGAAGTTTGCTACAACTTTCAATCCAATAGCCTGACAAGAGCGGATGGATTCTCGGACAGGCGAGGGAAGTACTTAGATACATGTGGGAGTGGGAACCACTGTCGATGATGGTCCCGATAGAAGTCCGATAAACATAATGATGGTTTTATCATGGGGTAGGGTGCGTTTTATGTAATTGGGGTGGTTCCGTGAAAGAGAGGATCAAGTGTGCTTCAATGCAGCTGCTTTACCAGTCCTGAAAAGCCAGACCCCTTTTTTTGTCATCCCTTCATACTTTTCCGCGTACAGTGGCTTGACAACACCGATCTTGAATTACAAGTGCTCCAATGTGGCTACATACACATTCCCACAATATCAGAGCGATTCTGGAGCGAAGAATATAATTGCTAGGTATCCAGCAAAACACTAAACAACTTGGCTGATGTCAATGACGATCGGGGCTCTCATCTTGCCTTGGGTCACCCATCGGGTTCCATCTTTGCTAGCTTGCGGAAGGTAAGGTGCGTTGCTATACGGCGTTCGATCACCATACCAGGCTTCTTCATTAATGTATCGGGTCTGCCAAAGAGGACTGTAACTTGGTGGGATGATGAATTCGATTCTTCCATTGAACCAGACTTTGCTGTCTTTAATCAATGGAACTCTTCCCGCTGCTGAAGAATATACTTCATCGCACATGCCTTTGTCCTTCACGCTAGGCGAGAGGTCATAAAAGGTACACTTCAGCCAGGACTCATCCGACTTGTGCCCTGAATCTGACTCCGAATTTTGTGCATGAGTTACGTTCCCATCCAAGGACGAAGGAGTGACGGACTCGGGAAGTACAGGCTCAGGGATGAGATGCGAGCAGGTGGGAACAATACCGGTATTGAGGATCCAAGTCGCGGAATCTGGTATGTGATATTGAGTGATTAACTCGCCTGAATCTGTTGACCAGACGAAAGCGTGGTTCTTATCGTATGCACCAACATATCGATCTTTAGGCGAGAATCCAAGCGTGTGGCGTTGAGGAGTGGAAGGCACGGAAGGTGTGAAAGGAGCACATGAAGGTGATACAAGAGGCTGAATAGATGGGTCACCTGTAACGTGCAGGAGCGTCATGCTCTTGTGCCAATCGTCATCAAGACTCGTTGGGGCTCGTATGATGATGGATCCACTATGAGATATCGTAGTCACAGCAGGGGAATGACCGCAGGGGAGTGTACCAAGGTTTACTGATTGCGTATCATGGTTGAGGATGTTGATCCTTCCGTTCCTATCCTCAGTCACTATCTTGTGATTGCCATGACAGAATTCAATCCAGACTGGGGGATCGGGCGTGCTGCATTGAAACCGAGAAACCGTCTTCTGATGATGGATGTTGGCAACCTCGATAACACCGCTGCCAAAACCAAGTGCGATGAAACAGCCATCTTGGGAGAGTGTCGTACAAGTCACGATGCCGTTGCGAACATCGTGCTGGGCGAACTCGGCATTGTAATCATTATTTATTCTGTATCGGTGGGGCTTACTGCGCAGTTCATTCAGCCCCTCCTCCATCATCCGTCGAGCTTGGAGTGCATCCTCACTTAGCGGAATTAAGTTTCCAGAAAACTCGCCAGAGATGCTGAAGACCCGAATAGGATCTGAGAGATGGCCATACATTTCATGAAAGGGTGATGACGACGGAGTGAGTGGAAGACCAGATCGATAGACTTGCCAGGGACAGCGCTCAGTTTTAGAATACGCCTTGTAGTAGCATGCATCCATAGCCCCGAACGTGAGCTGATATGATTTATGATCCTATGGAATGCAGGTGATGTCAAAACTCGAGTCCTCTGAATACAAGTGGTTCGGGCTCACTACGAACCGGGTCCACTCACGTGGCACGGATGCTATGCCAGACTGCATCGTAATATATGAGAGTACATTCTGCGTAAGCAAGTCATTAAATTCTTTTTGTAATTCATTCGGCTCTTGCGAGAACACTAGTGAGGGGTCCAAGTGATCGAGGAAGTATCGGATTGCATATTCAACGTGTTTGCCACCAGATCGCTTCCTCCTAAAACCTTCCCACTTCCTTTTATCTCCCAAAGGAAGCTGGGTGGGAATGCTGAACTCATTCTGCCTGCTGATGTCATTCACAAGTCGAAGAAATCGTAATCCGAGGAAGTACCCCTTCACATCACGAATGAAGAAGACTTGATCGCTTTCCTCGCCAATGGGATCACCTGTAATGAATTCCTTCATGGTCGTGTGGTAGAAAGAAATTGTCCTTGCATTGTTTGAGGGAAGGTCAATTACTGAGCTGATGGGTTTTAGTGTTGCAATGAGGTCATCCCTAGTCATTCCTAGAAGCTCCGACATCGACTTGACATTAAGTGAGTAGTCCACAGCAACAAGTGCTCCGACTACTTCACGGTAATTCTTGGCGACGTGGGGACGAAGGCATGGAGAATGGGACATATAGGCTCGCCGTAGTATGCGCAGGTACTCCGAGTTGAGATCGCTTGGTACTTCTCTCAGATTGCGGAAGTAGTCGAACTCCAACTTGAGAGAAGAACCACTTTGGGTCTGAATGCGCACCTCACGTATCCGAATCGAGGCAATGACAGGTAATCCACGGCAGGCCGAAGCGAAAACCTCGAGATCTCCCGTTGATGGTTTCCATGGCGATTTCCTGATACAGTCCTGGAACCCTTCCTCTACCATGCAATAGATGGTGTGGAAAGTCTCCCCCCCTGCAATCTTATCGACATTTTCGCATGGAATCAGAAGGCCCTGTTCCTGCGCATGGTCCCAAGCCGAGACAACTTGGGACTCGGGGCGACAACTAACTAGAATAGCGAACGTTGGAGGGAGCTCATTAAGCAAGAGTACGAGCTTCATCAGTGACTCGAGTTCTTCTGGATCCCCGCATTCATCGAGTCCATCCAAGACGATAACAAAACGGTCATTTCCTGAAGTCAAGATATCTTTGAGTCCACTCATCGGGTCAATAACCCAGGCTTTCATCTGCCTTTCTACAGTAGAACCCCGAATATTTTTCAATGAACCGGGCTGCCGAAGTTGCCTGATGAGCGCGCATTTGTACTCAATGTTGAATGCTGCAAGTTGAAGAGCAAGAGTTGAGGGAAACCGTTCGATCGAATCTAGTCCTTTTCCCTTCTGATTCTTATCCCAGAAGAAAGAAGCCGCCAGGATGCCTTTGTCATCAAGGGCAGAAGCGGTGCTTATGGATATCGCGGTCTTTCCTGTCCCTGGGGAGCCGCGTAACCAGACAAATCGGTTCTTGGGTTCCTTGAGATGATCAAGTATCGAACTACGGATTTTGTCACGCGTAGTTGGGAGGCATTCTGATTTGCTGTTCACGGAGAAATATTCAGCTTCCGTTCTAGGGAGTTTCCCGAGTTCATCTGAAAAAATATTGCTGAGCGAGAAGGTCTAGAATCAAACGAGCAGAACGGACAATCCACCGACGATTGAATTGTGTTAAGAAGGTTTAAGGTTGTTGCTACGGTCTGCAGAACAGATTTTAGTTAGTCAAAAATTACCAGTACGAATACGGATGTGACGAACAGCAAAACGGAAAAGCGCATTACTAATACACGCCTTCACGCCATTGATGCTTTGTGTGATAGTGCCCGCCGAGATTATCCTCTTCCACGGCGTTCGACTCTCAAGCGACCGGATCTCCCTGACTTGCTCTTCCAAGGCCCTGTCAACAGTGTCTAAGACCGAAATGAATGACCATAGGACAACATGCACGTACAAGTGGAATTCTTCAAGTAGAGGAATGACCTCTGGAGGGATCTGTCCGGTCCATAGTTGGAGCGGCCGTAACATGGTGGCGTAAGCATTGTGCACCTCATCGTTCAATCCTTTGAGGGCTTCATTGTTGCTGCCAACAGACTAAAATGAAGTATCAGCTACGTCTTGTCATCTATTGAAAAATCATGCCCGAACCTCGTAAACTTGGAGCAACACCAGGAGTAAGTCCGGAATGTAACCCAGGAATGGGATCGGGGAAAGCTTGAGAGCGGGGGCCGCAGCTTGGAGAATGAGCCTGGTGACGCCAATAATGGATTTTTTTCCGTCCCCAGCCCAACTGGTTGATGCTGGCCCCGATAAAGGAGGTACGGGTAAGTCTATACTGGTGTGTGATAGTTGTGTGCGGGGTTTCACGCTGTTGTCGTGGGGGGTCGAAATGGCGGGTGCTGCACAAAGGTCTTCAATGGTCCCTGGTAAGGAGGCGGATCGAGGTCGCTCCGAATAACCAGGGGATGACCGGGCGGAAGTAGTGGGAAAAGACCCTTCAGAAAGAGGTGTGCTTAAATGATTGAGATGATCGCAATTAGAATGAGGTCCCCGGGACGGCGCATTCAGACGCTTCAGGGAGGGCAAATCCCGAGAACTATCAGAATATTGCAATGCAGGTGCAACCCATGGGAGCCCTAGATAAGATCCCACCGGTTCATCATGCCAATTATTGTCGCGGGCTTGGAGAGCCTGCGAACTGAGATTAAGTCGTGGCTCCTCCCAAAACGGTGTGCTTGTATGTTGTTGGAAAAGCGAATCCCGAGAATCGCCAGAAGATTGCAATGCAGGAACCTGGGGGGGCTCGGGATAAGATGCTGCGGATTCCTTATCACGAATATTATCATGGGTTGGGAGAGTCCACGAGCTGGAAAAATGGACCTGGGGGACTTGGAGCAACGAAGCCGAAGCATGCAACCGCGGATCACTGTAAGATGGCTTGGGAAGTGCAATGACACGTTTCTGGAAGGACTTCAAGACCCGTGAATCGCTGGAAGCTCCCAATGTGGACGTGGTCTGAGAAGGCTCAAGGTGGGAGGCTGGAGAACTATCACACCGATCATAAGGTATGTGGGTTTGAGATGTCTGGGGACTAGTAAGATAGTTCCGGGAGAGTTGCAGCGATGAATTCACGTTGTAAGATGACTGCGGATCATTACAAGATGGGTCAGGTGCAGGAGGCCTTGCCCTGTAATGTTGTGAGACGAAGGATAATTTCCTTTTGTGAGACATGAAACGGCCAACGCGGTCAACGCAAGCGTCAAGGAGAGGGGAGGTTGGAAAGCCTCCTTGCCGCGCGCACGGGATATATATGGAAATGCCTTGTTTGGGAGTCAGAGCATTCAAACTTGGTTACTTCACGCATTCTCTCGTTCCGCGCATCCACTCTCTGTTGGGATCTTTACTGGATAAGGGTGAAGTCGTACGCACGCCATTCAACAAACTGACCCTAACGGACGATACACTTTCACCATTGCTGTATTTAGTAATTGTACAGAGGGAGCGGCTTCCGGAAACCCCCAAGCACATATGTAGCGTATCATGAACACCCCCAAACGCAAAATTTGGGCGAAAGACAACGTGAGCTGAAAACAAAGCGTCCTTATGTCCAGCTCCCCAGATACATCATAGCAACTGCAAGCCCAAGCACAGGGGCAGCCCTCCATCTTTATCGATTCCACAACCGCAAAGCCGTTCCGGGATGGATCACAGTGTCCGGAGTGAGCTTCTTAAGGACCACCCAAATGAGTATGCTAGATGCAACACGTGCAGATCCAGCAAGAGCGTTAGACTTTTAAATCTTCAGATCCCACATGTTTGCCCGCCTCGGGGCACAGGCACTATGGCAAGCAATCACCAAGGGAAGCCACAAGCAGTGACGTCATTCACACCCGAAGGGCGAGCCTAGATGTCTTTTGCTAATCACATTTGCTATACAGACATTTGTGCATGGATGCTCAAGGAATGAGCCAGTGTACTTCGTTCATAATAACCACATTGCCTTTCGGCTGATGAGGTCCCTGCCGACGAGAGAAACCACGACATACTCTGTCGGTAGACAACAGATCCAAAAACTGAGGCTGATAGCGCACACAGTCCCTGATATGGACATAAATTTCGGCCAGTCCGAGCTACTTGTCGCTGATGGCGACAAATTTATGGTATATCGGTGAGGAGGATGCCTACAGACTCGTACCCAGTCGTCGTCGCTCTATGGACGCGCGCTGCGAACACGGGATTTCGAAAATTGATAGTTTAGTGTGCCTGTGGATTCCTTGCATGCTGTTTTTCGACCTCCAGCACTCTCTGAACAGTCAAACTTGCGATTGGAAATGCATGCCTAATGTAATCAAGAGAACCCGCTCCTCCTGGTCGCCATGGAGGACTGGAGTGTTTTGCAACTCGAACGGCGACCAGTCGTAGCCAGTTCAGCTTGGAGTGCTGGCAAACGACTGTTTACATGTCTGTTGCCAAACAAGCGACAACAAACCCTAATTTCCATCCGGCTGTGGGTCGAATGGCGACTGCAACGCCTCGACGTGTTTTCGTTGAGATTCCGTTTGATTCGGTTCGGAGAAATGCATCTCAGGCTTCTACTCCGCTGCGTTTGACATCACCGCTGAAACGGAAAGTCGATGTCTTCGGTATCACTAACGAGAATTTAGTGAGCGGTTCACCAAATTTTGCAAAACTCCCCAGCCAACCTGCAACAAAGAAGACCCGGCTTGATGCGCCCCCTGCTAAAAAGCGTGCGATTGACGCGCTTGACGCGTCCAATGAGGTAAGACCTTAACCGCACCTATTACGCGTGGCTAATATTGCTCAACCAATTTGGAAGGCAAAGAAACGCCGCTCTACTCGCCCGAAAACGGTTTTAAGCCCGTCATGTCCTCGTTGGATGCCTATGAACAAGTCCCTAAGCAGGGAGGCTGTTGAGGACCGCATCCAGGTCTGTTTTTATTCATGTGTTTGAGAATAGCTTGACTTCCCAGGTGACTGGATATGCAGATCAGGGAATTTTGTTATCGCTTCTCTCGGGTTCTAGGGTTAACTAAGAAGCATGTTGAATCACTGGACTACTTTGATACGTTCTCGGACCAAACCTGTAAAGCGATCGTGATCAGCCTTGTCACTCTAATCTCGCGAGACGAATCTGATCGTGAAGCCAACTCAGTAAGAACAGGTCTGCCAAGATCCATCTGCCCTAGCTAATTTCCACTGCCCAGATTTTTAGAAACGTCTTGAAAACCATCAAGTCACCCCGCGCGAATCTTGAAGATGTATGGCGTGCGGTAGAATCGCTTAAGGACATCCTTTATTCACACCTAGAGACCCCTGCCCCAGTGTCTGCCCAATTAATTGAGCGCACAAGGCTAACTCGCCGCAGCGGCGAGACTCTTATAGATTCTTCACAGCTGATACCTGTGATATTATCCCTTATTGAAGAGACGGTGAAGACTCGGTTTATCCGCCAAGAATTCGATGATGGGTATGTCATCAATTAGAGACAACAGACCCCCAGTGCTCAAACTTTTCCCAGGATGGAGAAAGTAGCAGAAGTCAACAAGAAGAAGGCTACTGAGTTGAAGAACATCGCAGAACGCTGGAGTGTCACCCGGCAGGAATTACGCAAAGCGATTGAACAAGCGCCCAAACCTGAGCGAGGGAATCTAAGTGAAAAAGTAAGCATGTGTGAGGTTCCTTTGTTTGTCCCATTCACTTATGTGCTACCGACAAGTTGACGGTCGCCAGAGGGAAACATAAGACCGAGTTGCTTCAATCACGAGTGTCTCATGCAACTGGACTTCAGGCTTGCAGACTTCGGTATCAGCCTCTGGGTGTGGACTCATCGGGGCGAATCTATCACGCTCTATCTCATCCCAACAACCCTGCAACGGGTCCGAGGCGCAGTCGAGCCTCATTATCGCACCGCACTCGTGAATCGATGAAGAATTGGGCATACTTCGTTTTCGTATGGGGGAAAAGGCCAGAAGATGCGCATCGTAGTGCTGAAGACGATGAAGATGAAGATGAAAATGAGTCAGAACGATGGTGGATTTTCTCCGATGCCGCATCAATTCGACAGCTTGCGGATTGGCTTTCGTGCACCTCCATTCCTCCCGATACTGCATCCTCTACCGCTGTCTCGTCTGCCACTGGTTTTGCTAGGAACACCCCCAGATCTTCGGAATTGCAGGATCCTGATAATGGGGGAGATGACACGACTGAAACCAAGAATTCGGATCGACGTATTCCTCCCCATATACGCGACTTGTGCAAGGACCTCAACGAGTTCGCCGACTTTCTGGATGTGTGTTTTCCTCCTGAAAAGTAGGGAAGCACTTCCACGGACACGAGATCAAACTAGCGAAGACGAAAACGCTTTAGATACAGCTTCATATGTATCTCCCATTTACTTTACTCCTCCATTCAGATACCATCGTGCCTTATTGGCCCTGGCCGTTGTTGCACCCTCCACTCCACGTGGGCACAGTTTTAGCCTTACGAGTATAATTTTTTTCGTTATTTTATCCACCCATATACATTTCACGACTTGTCGATATGACCACAGATTTGTGAAATGATTCGAAAACCAGTGCTTATGTCGGAGATGCGAAAAGTTCAGTATATATTCCATCCAGTTCTTGGAAAGAGACTGTTCTCACGGTCCACTTATGTAGCCGCGATGCCAGCAGGACGGCAAGAACGTGCTTGCACTGTGGCCAAGCAAGCCACCAGGATCCAGAAATAGATAAGGATATCGCCAGTTGTGCACAAAAGCTTGTGGCATCAGTATGTTGGAAACATCGTCATTAAACCAGATAAGACGCGCACCACCAAAGGTGAAAGCTCTTCCTCTTCATCATCCAGAGGTGACCTTGGGCTTCGAAGGAGAACGGTGTAAGCAAACGCAGGACACGTGCAGAAATGACGAGGGGTTCTGAATAATCGGCTTTCGGTCGTAGTATATGAATCGTTTTCGAGCGCAGATGGTGGTGTGTTCCTGAATACGTCTATTTCCACGGCGTACGAGTCGGTGCTGCCGGACACGATGTAGGCTTTACGTCCCCCTGGTGTGTCATATCTCGTCACTAGGTCATGCCAGTAGTTTAGTCGCGAACGAGTATCCGAGGACCCTGGATCACATACCGCACTTCTTATCTAGAAGGTCGAGAGCTGCTACGACAGTATGAGATACCAGTAAGTTGAGAGCGAGAATTGTATCTTCTGGCACTACGAAAAAATATTAACAAGCCACTCCTAGAGGAACGATAAATCTCAATCGTAGGGCAGACCATTATCTGGGGTGACTGTATCTAGCAGAGCATCAAGAACACGATCGAACTCGTCCATGGCACTAAGCGTAATTGACAATTGTCCCTGGCATTTTAAGAGTTACACGGTGACCACTCGATGAGTCTTCCCTCGAAGCGGAGTTAGCCGAATATAATAGTCGCGATTTATGTAACGAGATTACATAAGACTTACCTATGCCAGCGCAGCATGCGCCACCTGCCAAAGTAAGAAACCAAGAAATAGTATGATACCGCGGAGTACAATATTGCCGGGTCAGTATTCCTTCGTAAATTACCCGGGAAACAATGTATGTATATGGCACGACATCTGGTACAGTCGATACCTTGGCCTGGTATTCGGCAATTTTTACTAAGGGAAATCCGAGTTAAACGTTATAAACAATGACCTCTGTGTGACCAGTTAACGCCTTCCGATTGACTTATTCCCTTTGCTTGCACCATCGTGATGACTACAGACCAGGGGCTTCCCTTCCTTTTGTTTATCACTTCCAGATTTCTCTCTGCTGTCCGCTGTCTCAACCTCAGTTGTTTTAGGTGGGGGTTATTGAGAGTCGTTTAGAGGTATGTGCTTTCTCCACATCCATGTCCATCCACCCTGAAGCCATCCTTTCGCGAAATCGGCGTGCCCTTGAATCACCGATGATCGCTGCAAATGCGCGCCGCACACGAAATGCCATCTCTAACCGGCAACGACGACAGGGCACGAACCAACCTGCTCCTGTCTCTTCGGTCCTCTGTCCTACCCTATCCGGTGCTTCCTGCAGTCGGAGTGTGCACTGGCGCAGTTTTTCGTCTTTTCATCCCAACCCCCTTTGTATTACGATGGCGCCCAAACCCCTGTCAACATTGTGGTGCTCTTCTATCAGAGAGTGAACATTTGGGTTGATGTTGTCGAAATGGCTCCAAAGTTCTTTCCCCCCTACCACGTTTCTCGTGGCTCTTGCGAACAACTTCCCTATAGTTGCCGGGAACGGCACCCGTTCTCTCAACTACCTCTTCAACCTCGGTGCACAGGGAGTCTCTGGTGAACTACATTCATTCCAAGGTAAGTTCCTTTCAGCTAGGCCAGAGCCCTATTCCCACTCTCTTCTTTTAGGGTCTTATTCATTATGCATAACGGGTCAGATGTACTACCGTATCGTGCTGAGCCGTCGTTCTGGGCATCCTGCAAATTGGTTTCTATATGACCCTGCTGGAGCCACTGCTGTGGCACTGAAATCCAACGTATCACCCAGGATAAAGCGTTGCTCCGGTTCAAAGTGCGCCTTCACTTTGACGACTCAAATCGCCATTTCGACAAATTTCGCCTGCCTCGCCCAGGGTCCAATGTGGATATCCAAGCGAAATGGATGACAGACTCCGCCCTGAATGATTGAGAATAGTATGTATTTAGGTGCTCTACCTGCCGCGATGGCAGAATCTGATATCATGGCTCTACACCTTCCGCACCTGCTCCCAAAATGAAAGCGATTGTTGGGGGATGCTGCTGCGGTGCCCGGCACCGAAAGTGACAATAAGAAGGACTTGATCAGCTGGTGGGTCCTCGCGCGGAAAAGAAAGGCGTCTGGGCAGGGTATAATTGACAATGCGGCGGTTAGGCCTTGAGAATCTAAATAATGAGGCGGGGGCGTCATGTGCTGGCCCAAGTGGCTGCTTGGTGAATGATGTCAATACTGATATTGTACACAACTGGACTCGATCGAGCCGAAGGCTGTCCACTTGTTTTATTAAACAATCCACGGAGATACATTCCGAGTATTTTTGCTGGCGTCCCCAACCATAATACGGGTACCAGGGTATCACACCATGATTTTCACTTGGGATTCCTGATCTTCCCGATTTTTTTTTTTTACTGCGATTTACTTCTTCATCCATTTCGTGGTGAGGTTCTCCAATAAAAATTGCATAAAATTACAAAGTTTATGAGCTCGCCGGATTTATTGTCGACATGGGTTTATTTTCTTTGTGGCTCCCCTTTGCATGGTTGACATAAATTCCGGATGCAGGCGCATTCTGCAATCCCTACCAAGGTGCCAGCTCCGCCAGATATTGACACTTAGCATATGTGCGGTGCTTCGCACCACATGTTATCGCGCCAAATCCAACCGGGGTTTTCTGTGCAGGCTGAGGCCTGTCCAACCAGATAGCAATCTCCCCTCGTTCCATCCGACGCATTGAACCAAATATCACCGACGAACCAGTCCTTAACGGAAACAGTAACAGAATGGTCGCAAACTGTGCCGTTAATTACCCCGGGCGCAGCTTCCTCAATATTTTCGCCCTCGCCTTTCGAGTTGTCGACTACATTATCGCAGCTAGTGTCTGTGGTGCAAACACTAAGTAAGAGCAAATTTTGCTTCAGATTTGATTTCGGTTCACCTGCTTGCGAAGCTGTTATAACAATTCGCTTGCCATAGGGGGAAGTGAGCGCGCCGACATGGAAATGGGCTGTGGCAACTTTGGGAAGTAGAGCGAGCATGATGATGGCACTCCAGACTCGCATTGTGATTTTTGGCGGAGTGCGTGCTACTGCTGATCGATAGCTAGTGCAGACGGCGTGAATCAGGGAGTAGTCTGGACCGTGGGTACTTGGAAGACTGGTGAGAGAAGGCTAGAGGAAAGGAAACCCATCGGAGGTACTTATATAGCAGTTGCATGAGGCATCCAATCAATCTTTGAAAAAGGAAAAGTGAAAGTAATCTGCACCCCAAAATGGCGCTTGACATTGTCGACTTTCCCAGAGGCGACCAGAGTGTACCCGTCTTCGCCCGGGTAGAACCGTTGGCAAGTCCCACTTTACGGATATTCCTACTGTTCAATCAATGAATACTTGCATGTTGATATCTCAACTCAGCGGATTTACATCTAACTAGCTTTATGTATGATCCTTTATTTAGAACTCTCGGCTATTACATTCCTTTTTCCCGGCTTCCCGCCACTCCGCAGCGGGTCCCGTAAATTTTCCCTCTGAGCAAGATGTACATCCTCTAGGAACCACCCTACGGGTCGGTGTCGAAACTGGGTCTTCAAATTCTACTGATTCTAAAGCCCAAAGTGCCTCAAGGCCTCAGGGTTGTCGTTCCCGCCGAGGCGCGGCGCGGCATAGATTGTGAAAACCGTCATCGACTAATTATTAGGAATTTGTATGTAGCAGCAGACATGATTACGACAACATCTCTGCATAGCTATATAGGATTTGCTAACTGCAATCCTGACTTGGCGAATCATTCAAAAAATCCCAAATATTGCAGAAATTACGATCGACTGGGAATGTGAATGCTTGTACATCCTAACCAAGTGTGGCTCCCAGGATATTATACTTGGCTACTGGCACCTTAACGACATCACAAAACCTTTAGCATTGGTTCAATGTGCGAGTCATTCCCATCGGATCCACAGCATCAATTGGTAGTTGATAGGTGGATCGGACGGAGTCACAGGACTTTCCGACAATCGGCGCTGCCACTGTCAGTTCCGTGGAAGCCAACGACCCTGCCTCATCATTCGGGGTTTGCGCGGATCTGGAGCGTTCAGCCTTCTTGGTAAGCAGTCACGATGCCAATGTGTAATAACGCTCAGAGCTGATCAGATTAATATTGAATGGTCAAGCTTGAGAGCGGCAGTGGGTTGCAGCGGTGGAATAATTTATCTCCATGACAAAAGCTCAGCCCTTCGCAGCGCCGACATTTTTCCAGACACTCCTTGCAATATCTGAGAGTACTCTCTTCACTTCATTTGAGGATTCCTCGCGTTCCGCGTCCTCAACATGTCCAACGATAGCAGGAATCCCACAGTCACCGCCGGTGCTCACCGAGCTCACAAGGGGCAGTTCGCCGAGGACTGGTATCCCCCTATCGGACGCCATGTTGTGGAATGAAGTTGTCGGTCCAAATATCTGATGTGCGTTCGAACACGATGGGCATACGAAATGCGACATATTTAGGACTACACCCAGTATCTAGAAGTGCGTTATCAGTGGGGTGTTCGCTTTTCCACATAGGATCACAGTGAACACTCACAGGGATGTCAACCTTTCGGAACATTGAAACACCTTTTGCTACATCAATCAATGCCACATCTTGTGGTGTTGAGACAATAACGGCTCCTACAATGCTCGATCAGAACATGTGCAGAGACATTGGGAGATCATTACCATCGACTTTCGCAAGTTGACCGAATGTCAATGCCACGTCCCCAGTCCCTGGAGGCATATCGACGACTAAGGCATCCAATCCCCGTCCGCCTTCATCTCGCCAGTCAACGTCAAACAAAAGTTGTTGAGTTGCCTTCTGAACCATAAGTCCCCTCCATACAACGGCAGGTGCATCGCCCGCCGTAGATCTTGGAAGGAGGAAACCCATCGACATACATGCTATGGAATGGTTGTGCAACGGCACTAGATGACCGTCTTTTTTGAGAATAGCACTTCAGTAGATAGTTGCCATCTATGGGGGCAGCCGGACTCGCCTTTGGTGAGTTCTGGCTCAGAGGAATTTTCAAGACCCATTAATTTGGGTATTGACGGCCCGAAGATATCCAAGTCCAACAACCCAACTCGAAGGCTGCGACCGTGACTGGTCTGCGCTGTCATGGCCAACGCCAATGCAAGATTCGCTATTTAACCGTCATAAAAAAATTAGTTTGTCGTATTAAGATGAAGAGATTTGAATATTACTTGCAACTGTGCTTTTTCCTACGCCACCCTTCCCACTAGCTACAGCTATTACACATCCAGCATTTGGGATTTGCCTCCTTGGTGCGCGAGTAGGAATCGTGGGTGGTGGCTGAGACCCAGATCGCGGAAGTCCCTAAGTTGCCAGTGTTCGACGGGCACGCATAGATTGGCAGGAGGACAGCAACACACCAACGGATTTTGATGAGAGGAAGGAAAAGAGGATCTGAATTGCCTTATATAAATTTGCACACATGAAGCCTTCTTGTGATAAGCTTCGGCTGCAGTCCGGCGGGCGATGCAGAAGAAGGACATGGATAGAAGAGCGTGGGAATGAGGTCGGGGCTAGTGCACGTGATGGATGCGTTGTCGTCGGTGACTTCCCCATCTGCACTGCCCCCTTATTTCGTTTTCATGTTCTTATGTCGCGAGAGGTAACCAAATTTGTTATTTTTCTCACACCAACACAAAAAAAATACAATAGGGGTGTTCACAGTAGTGAAAAGTACAATGCCCACAAGAGTTGCCAAAAGTTGGACTTTCCTAGCGACTTTTGAGCTTGACTTTTGACCTCTTTTGATCCACTTTTGAGGTCATTCATAGTTGCATGCAAAAAAAGTGTGTCAAAACAGCCTCTCCGGTCACGAAGGATTTGAATGGATTACATAATGTTCACTCTGCATGCCCATTCTTAGTGAACATGAGCGCTTAATCCGTGCTGCTCTCAAGCATGCATCCAGCCTCCAAGCCCAGTACTGACATCAATGATGCAGTCTTCTCCACAACCTTCGCTCTATTGATGAGCTGATTGATCTATCCATTTCCGATTTTGACACTGATGACGACTCCGAGTCCGAAACCTCATCTGACACTGATAGCACAAGTACAAGTTCCAGCAGCAGCAGCAGTAGCACCTCATCCTCCGAGTCCACTGGTAGCACTATAGAATTGCTATCTCATTCATCTATCCTTTCATCCCACTCAACCTATGAAGACCTTGTTGAAACCTACATGAGGCTCCATCACTCCCATGTTCAAGTGTAAGGGATGGACAGGGATGGGATGATGCGCGCTTTGCGCGCATTTCATTTATTCATTTATTCTTTAATATTCTTCGTAATAAACAACTGTATATATATATAGTGTCCGGGGTCGGGGAAAGGGGCTTTGCTCTTCTCCTCCCCCCTGTCGAATACTAGCTCCATACAGTCTACGTTATCGACAGCCTGAGGATTGAGGAGTCACCAAGGCCGGCACCCCAACCGGCCTTACATCAAGCCATCTGATGTGTCCGGCAGTTTCTTTAAAATGTTGTTACCACTAGAGTCCTCTTCCTGCATTCAGTTCCCAAGTGCAGCCAGCTTTCCTTTGTACTTCAGTGTTACAAAGAGGACGATGCACGGCGCTTCCACCACAACCTAAGTGTCTCACCTCATTCCTTTGATGTTCTTCTATCTCTTATCTGAGAACATCCAATATTTTACAACAGCTCTAATGTGGAACAAGCCCCCATATCACACCAGCTTGCAATAACTCTTTACTGCTTTGGTAAATTTGGGAACGGTGTATCAGTTGAAGCTGTCATGCAATGGGCAGGCTGCAGTGCTGGAGCAGTCATTAATTCTACAAGATGGATAATTGCGGCATTCCTCTCTCTTCATGACCAAGCAATCCACTGGCCAAGTGCATTGGAGAAGTGGGAAGCTTCTGATTGGGTGGAACAAGTCTCATGCCCCACTTGGAGACCAGGATTTTGTATGGTGGATGGCACACTAATACCACTCTGTTAGAACTGGGCGGAAACGGACGACTCCGGAGTGGAATCGGAGACTTAGCGTGGAGGGACCTTGGCCTCAGCGACTCAAGCGGAGCGCTGTGCCATTGCTGTTTGTCCATTTGGTCCTTAATTTCACAGTAGGTGAGCAGGAAGTCTCTAGGGGGCATTTCAGGTCGATTTCGGACTAAAACCAAAACGAGTATGTACAAGTGCCGATATATATAACGGAAGGGGCAAAAGCACAAGGAGAACAAAGGGTGACCGAATCGGAACGAAGACGTCTGAAAGGGAACAAAGGGTAGAGGGAGCGGAGCGGTACCGAAGGTCATAAGGCAGGACCTGTGATACGTCTGAAAGGAGGTAGGGAGGGCGAGGCCCAGAGGGGCAGGAGGATGAGGGGAAGTGGGGATGATGACTGTCAGGGGACGCGCGTGCTCGCGCAAGGTGCTCCGATAACCTAGTTGTGATTAAAGCCGGGGGAAAGGGATGTCCCCATCTTAGGGTCAGCTATATACATGTAGAGTCCGGCAATAAGGAAACCAAACAGATTGCCGATAGAATCACGTGATCATAGAATGTTCCAGAACAATGCCGGAGATGATCCGGGTCACCGGGGCTTAGGTAAGCGGAGTAGACGGGAATTACCGGCATACTTCCCACGCGCATACGCGCAGCCGGCATAGGGTCCAGGGTCATTGCTGATCCCTGACAATGACTAACTGGCTAGAATAGGAAGAAGCAGTAGTCCAAATAGGGATGAGGGGAAAACGCGAGAAATACATTACAAGCGGCGAGAGTGCTGAAGGCGGTCCGCGAAGCTCGGGGGTTGCGGAGCTTACGGAGGTTACAGAGGCGGGGTTGGAAGTCCGAGGAATATTGGCAATGGTGTTTACGTAGTATGAGGTCACCAATGCAATGGACTAAGACCGAGGTGGAGTCAAAGTCCGAGGTAGGGACTATGACGGAGGCTCGGTGTAAGGTACGAGCGGTGTCCGAGTGCGAAGTACGGAACAGCGGTGGAAGGTCGTAACTTGGCGGAAGGGTGGTGGAGGAGTAATGGAGGGAGGAGAGAGGGGACAGGTAAGGGGAGAAGGAGTGGCGGAAAGGAGAGTAGTCAGGTCCGAAGGTGAGTATCGGAGCGGACGGGGGAAGCGTAGGAGGATAACGGGAGGGTGGAGGTGTTGTGAAGGGGGAGCGGAGTAGTAGGAGGATAACGGGAGGGTGGAGGTGTTGTGAAGGGGGAGCGGAGTAGTAGGAGGGTGGCGAGAGGTAAGGAGGAGGTGTGTTGCCAGGACCGAAGGTGAGTATCGGAACGGCAGCGGT